TATCTGTTATATTCTGTTATATGGAAGTAATATAATAGTTATATATTTATGTTTGTTAACATTTTATTTGGCTGTATAAATTTCGAGTTACAAAGTTAAATAATAACATGACATTTTGTTCAAGTGGCCTACTAAGCGTGTTGATTATTAATAGCTTTTTTCGAGATTTCCACATCAAAATAATTATTCCATAAGTCGATTGTAGCTTTACTGTTAATGTATAGTTAATGTATAGTTAATGTATATATTTATATTGTAGAGGAGACTGGAACTAGTAGACTCATTTTTCAGTTTCGAATTTTTACAGACGAAATTAAGGCTTCTGACTACTCAGCCAGCAACACAGAATCAGATGACGGTCTGATGAAACTGTAGCCCCACACACACAAGCACGAGTCCATGTTTCGACGCGCCAAAAGCGAGCACATGTACATGGACTCATGCTTATATGTGTATTACTCGCCACGATAAATAGTTGAACTTATAGATGTGGAAAAGTGACGATAAATAGTTGAACTTATAGGTGTGGAAAAGTGACGAAATTTATATTGCATATCATTTCGTTATTATTTGTTTAATTGTGAAAATATGACGTGTCTCGTATTTATCAAAGTCATAATTATCGACAAAAACTAAAGTTATCTTGGAATTTTATATGTAAAAAATTTTATATATATTTTACTCGTTTCAACAACTGTCAGACCGTGTGTTTCTGCCCGAATATAGGCTTTGCGTGCCTTTTACGACCATTTACTGACTGTCAAGGGAGAAAAATACAGTTTTCGTCGATTTTTACAAGTATTTTAAAACGTGTTGTCCTGTCATTTCGTTTCATCCAAATTATCTTTATTTAAAAATGGCATTAAACATAAATTAACGTGTATTTCTCGCTTTTGACGTCACAATTCCAATATGGCCGCGATTAGTCAGGAGTCTTAAGAGACTTATCGAAAAAATGAATTCTACATCAGTTATTACATACATTTGACTATTTAATAATATTTAAATAATAAGGAGAAATTAATAACTATGAAAAAAACTAATAACTACGAAAATAATATGAAACAAATGCATTTTTCTAATGCATTTTATCTGAATCAACTAGCTCCGGGACCGGAGTAAAGTGACTAATAGTATGGGATAATTTGACTAAGATTATTAAAATGAAGATTAATGTATTTAAACTACATTTTTGGCTACATATTAATAAAACTTTTATAAAAATATATTTTAAATATATTTTACACAAACATTCGCTTCACAGGGCAGAATAATGCTTCTTTTTGCTAAATTCGTTCGTTTTGTGCAAAAACACATCGAATGCGTCTTATTTTATCGAGATTAGACGTGATGGAACTAAATTTATAACATTTACCACTGAGATAAATCTTTTTAAAGGAATATTGAGGTATTATAAAAGTCGTCACTAAATGAGTCATACAACCCTATGCTGTGGTTAGCTTACCATCCTCATCTGTTTATTCTTTAAAAACATTAATAGTATACGATAATAAAGACAAATAAACGAAAAAAATCTTTTGAACTTTATTTAGTAAAAACTACATTCACTATCTAAATGGAAATCAAATATTTCAGACAATTGCATATGACTGTAAAGCAAAAACTTTAAGAATGAAAATATTTATTTACATGTACGATTTTTTAAAATTATACACTGAAATGAAAGATTAGCTGCTGCAGCCAATTTTAAAATGCTATACATATTTCTATGACAGATATATTCGAGATTACAGCAGACTGAGCGGCAGTCGCTGCTGCGTGCTCAATCAAACACGTTTATCTCGCTTGTTTTGTTTTTAAGCATAACCTCGATTATTATACTTACTCCTATAGTCTATATTGACTCGAGTCTCTCCTACGACAGATTTTCTTCAAATGCTGTTGAGTTTATAGAAAAATGTGTCAGACAAAAGTTGTAGAGTGCGAAGGGGGACATAAGATGGTGGCCTTGAGTTTTAATGAAAGTCAAACTGAAGGTCATTTCAAGGTCAATTTTGATTTTTTTTAATGGAATGTAGTTTTTTCATTGCATATTCTAAAAGAGCATAAAATTCTGCGTTAAAGTTGTCTGACACGTTTTTCATGAAAATCCATTTTATTGTGGAAATTTAAGCAAAAAAATTCGTAAAATGAATCATGCATCAAGTTGTACATGTTCAGGAACATTTTTCGTTCTTAGAATTACCCAGAATCAACGGCGTGACGAAAATCTGATCCCATTGGGGTGCTTGATTTACATGAGTCCCCTAGCCTCTCACTACGTATCAAATTTTTGTATAATAACATTACAGGTGATGTTCAAAAAACGTCTCCTCCAACGGCTACATGTGTAATCGACATTGAAGTGAAAGCGTTCTTCGTAACATTTCTTCAGGAATTAATGCCATTGCATTACTCATGCGATTCTGCATGTTATCGGGAGTTGTTGGCTCTGTAGCAAAAGCAATCCCTTTCACATAACCCCATAAAAAATAATCGCACGATGTAAGATCTGGTGAATTCGGTGACCAGCGATTGAAACCATTTCTGCCTATCCAACGTTGAGAAAACCTTTCATTTAAATAATCTCGAACAACACCTGCAGAGTGTGCCGGGGCGCCATCGTGTTGGAACCACATGTCCCTGCGTGTTTGCAAATTGATGTCTTCCATCAACCCAAAATCATTTTGCAAAAACTGCAGGTACATCGCTCCATTTAAATTGTATTTAAAAAGTGGTCCAACAACTTGCCCATCTAATATTCCGCACCAAGTATTGACTCTCCATTGGTGCTGATTGTCTGCGCGACGTAACCAAAAGGGATTAACGTCTGCATAGTAATGGGAGATTTAAAGCTCCGTTATTGTGGAATGAGGCCTCATTGCTAAAAAGCATCCTGTCGAAAAAAGTGTTATCTTCTTCCAGTTTTTGCAAAGCCCACTAATAAAATTGAACCCGTATCCCTTTCTGATCATCAGTCAAAGTCTGATGTCTTTCAATGTGATACGGGTGGAAGTGATTCACCCTTAAAACTCGGTTTACTGTAGGAAAAGAGGTGTTCAATTCGAGGCTGATTTTGAGCTGACTTAATGTTGAATACAACCATCCCCAAAATAGCGATATTCAACACGGTGTCCTCTGTGCGATCTTTTTTCTTTCGTTGATGTCTCAATCGACCATCACGTGCTCTAGCGATGAGATTTGAAATTGTTTCACGAGAAGTATGTCGACGATTTTAAAATCGAAGTGCATAAAGACGAGCACATTCTCTAGCATTTTCATTACTTCTGCCGTATTCAATTATTATGTCTACTTTCCGTGAATAATCACCCATTGTTGCAATGCTCGTTAAAACTTAAAATGTATCTCATACGGTGACATTTTATGAAGCATATAGTATGAATAATTCTGTTAAATCATGTAAGTAATTGACCGATACTTCTTTCTTTTGTAATGACTGAAATGTTGCCCAAGGATGAGCTCAATACGATGTAAGAATGCAATAATGGACGTACGAACATAAATGAACGATGATGCCCGCGTATGTCCGAGATTATTTAAATGAAAGGTTTCCTTAACATTGAGTAGGCAGAAATGGTTTCATTCGCTGGCCACCGAATTCACCAGATCTTACATCGTGCGATTATTTTTTATGGGGTTACGTGAAAGAAATGGCTTTTGCTACAGAGCCAACAACTCCCGATAACATGCAGAATCGCATACGTGAATGCAATGGCATTAATTCCTGAAGAAATGTTACGAAGAACGACGCTTTCACTTCAACGTCGATTGCACATGTGCCTAGCCGTTGGAGGAGATGTTTTTGAACATCTCCTGTAATGTTACAGTAGTCTGATACGTAGTGAGAGGCAAGGGGACTCACTTTAATCAAGCACCCCGAACGTGAGAAGCAAGGGGACTCACGTAAATCAAACACCCCGAACGTGAGAGGCAAGGGGACTCATGTAAATCAAGCATCCCAATGGGATCAGATTTTCGTCACGCCGTTGATTCTGGGTAATTCTAAGAACGAAAAATCATGAACATGTACAACTTGATGCATGATTCTTTTTAGGAATTTTTTTGCTTAAATTTCCACAATAAAATGGATTTTCATGAAAAACGTGTCAGACAACTTTAACGCAGAATTTTATGCTCTTTCAGAATATGCAATGAAAAATACTATATTCCATTAAAACAATCAAAGTTGACCTTGAAATGACCTTCAGTTTGACCTTCATCAAAAACTCAAGACCACCATCTTGTGTCCCCCTCCGCACTCTACAACTTTTATCTGATACATTTTTCTATAAACTCAACAGCATTTGAAATATTCGCCTGACTAGATTAAAAAGAAACACTCTGTACACATTCTACATTAATTTATTTTTTTATTTATTTTGTCACCAAATATTATTTTTTTTTTAACAAAAAATTTTTATTCTATTTTTATGGAAGGCCATATTACCACCTCTGTTTTTCTCCAAGCCATTATGCAATGTTGCCACTTTTTTATACATAGTGCACAAAGGAATAAATACTTCGTAATTTTGAATTTAAAATCAATCGAACAATATTTTGACCAATGTAATCGTTAAGTTTTAAATTTAAATATTGATTATATTAATCAAATTATTGTACAAAATTCGCCGGTGCCATGATATCACCTTCTCCTCTATTAATGTCTCTCTGTTAAATTGGTATAAAATATAGGGTTTGTTTTTTAGGGTTGAATTAGTGTACACTTTTGAAACTTAAGTGGGATAGAGAATATATGTTTAATGTTTGACGAAAATGATAAAGAGAATTCTAGTGCAGTCTAGTGCAGGAATAAAGAAACAGACCTATATTTAATTGTAATTAAAAATTGAACAATGCTAAAGATAAAAATGAAAGAAACATTAAAATAATAATATATAATTAATATTGGATATATAATTATTGTAATTAAGTTTATAAATTTTGTTAGAAATATAACGTATAGTCATTGTTATAAGTACCTCCATATAGTATTGTATTCATTTAATACGTGGGCGATTACGAAGGCATACATAATTCCGCAGTTAATTAAAAGATGAAAGTATATAAGAAGTCGTTCTCGTGAATTCTGATCTGCAATTTCTGCGATGTAAATCGGCGTCAGAATGCAAAATGCTCCACCACTCATACCACATACGAATCGACCAATTATAAGGAGAGAAATCTGTACAAATTTAGTTTAGTTATTATACATCATTTTTATTAGTTGTAAAATTTAATAAAATGTTACAACATTAAAACAATTTTATGATATTTGAACTAATTTGATTAGTTTTTGTTGTTAAAATTTAATATTGAGACGAAGTAACGTAAAATACTACACATTAAGATTGCTTTAGCAAAAACTTATTTACTCTCACTTTATTTTCGTGCAATTTATTAGACATAATGTATTATACACAAATAACGTTTTGACAAAAAAAGGATATTAAGTTAGAACTGTTTTTCAGCCAAAATGAAAAAATTCCGAGATATACAAATTATATATAATATTATGTTAAAAGACTATTTATATACGGGATTGGATAAGTTAATGTTTTTTTTAAACTAAATTAAGTTAAAGTTAATGATTTATAAAATTAATAAAATTAAGTTGAAAGTTGAAGGAATAAAGAATTAACTTAATAAAAGTTAAGATTAAATTAACTTAAGTTAATTAAAAAAAAGTTAATTTTGAAAAAAATTATTTTTGAGATCAGAATATTCTAATTTTTCTTAAAATGAAATTACTTTAAATAACCCTTACAAATATAGATTATTAGGCAAATTTAATTTTATATCTACATGTAAGTTATTTATATATAATAAGAGTCACACTATAAGGTGTTTTTGTCAAGATTTTGCGAGAGAGAAGGGTATATGTTTGTTTTATTTCTCTTTCTTTAACTTTTGAAATGACTGTTCATGCATGTTTACGACTACCTCGATTAGATATTTGTTACAAAAATATACATAAAAATTTGGAAAATTAGTGGATATGCAACTCTGTTCTACAACAATTCTCCATCTAAGACTCATTTCATATTTATGTTGTTGAAATATTAGGGGTACAAATAAGTTCGTGCGGTTTTGAAAGAGATGGCGTAACTACTGTTTCATTCCACCGTTCCGTATTTCTAAGTATGCGTTGGATAGCTGTCATTAGTAGGTATTAAGTTCAGTATGTGTCATTTGTTCGAATTGTAAACAACAATATTTTTACTTCGTCAAATATGTCGAACTTTGTACCAAATAAAGTGTTTTTGCAGAGAGTTTTACTGCATTACTTCAATATGAAGAAAAGTGCTGCCGAAAGTCATCGTATTTTAGTGGAAGTTTATGGTGACCATGCTCTATCTGAGCGAACGTGTCAGAAGTGGTTTGCACGGTTTAAGAGTGGTGACTTTGACTTGGAAGACCAAGAGCGTGCCGGATGTCCAAGAAAGTTTGAAGACGCAGAATTAGAGGCATTACTCGATGAAGATCCATGTCAAACGCAAGAAGAGCTTGCATTATCATTGGAAGTGACTCTGATTACATTGTAACCGATTTTTCACAATAAAGCCCCAAATTTCGAGAAAAAACCGCACGAACTTATTTGTACCCCTAATATAACGTTTATGATACCTAAAATTAGTATGATTCAAATATAAACAGGAATTGATAAAATCTAGCGAGTCAATAAAAACTGGCTGCCGTATGGTGTGACTCTTATTACAGAGTCTCTCATCATAAAATCATTGAACTTCTTCTAAATTAATTCTCTAATATTCAAGACTTTATAGAAAAAAAATATTAGCATTAAAAAAAATAGAAAAATTTTCAATTAAGTTAAAAGTTATTAACTTTTTAACTTTTAATATTTCAACTAATTAATACCCAATCTTGCTATATAGGATATGTACTGCTCAAAAAAGTTATGGTATAGAAAAATTGTGGACAAAAATACATCAAATTTGACTAACAATAACGAAAAATTATCATAAAATGTTTTTTTTTAAATTACAGCTTGAAATTTCTACTTTGAGACGCTATGGCCAGAGTGTATATATATATATATATATATAAGTTTGATGCACTATTAACTATCAAAATATGAAGATGTGTATTTGTCATATTGAAAATTGTAAAGTATGACGGAATACATGGACTTTGTAAAATTTTTTGGAGGAATGCCATTTGCAGCGGCATAAAGTTCAAACTTTCCCCTTTAATTTAAAAAAAAGCTAGTTGCTGTTATTTTTTTCGCAATTACAACACTCTAAAATTATCCTTGCATTTTTTAACATATACTATATTACCTGCATTACCGAATATGCATGACAAGATTGCTGCATAAATGTTGTACATCGTATTTCTGTGTGCGTGTGTGTGTGTGTGTGTGTGTGTGTGTGTGTGTGTGTGTGTAGATTTTACACATCGTGTTTTTGCGTGTAAATTTCAGTAACGCGTGTTGCCTTCGCGTTGCTCGATTACTGCTTGCTCGATTCCTCATATTAATGCAAGCCCTAATTTCTTTTTTTTTTCTGCGGAATGTCATTTCAGATTTGTATTAAATAATGATTGATTAAGAGATAGATTAAGAAATTTGGCAAAACAACCTGTCAATCTCAGAGACCTATCATAAGCTCCAGTGTACAAATGAGTGATACACTCATTATTAACACTGTTATTAACATTCAGGCGAGTGTACATATACAGCTTACATGCACACATACGTGCGCGCGCGTGTACAGCAGGTACACACATTCTAACGAACGCGCGTGCCCGTGTGCAAATATAATTTCAAACAATTACATCTTAGAATTGTTATGGTTTAAAGTGATAATGATAGCATTACAATTCACAATTCATCATTATTTTGTATAAAAAACTTTTTTTTAATTGTCATAACTTGACAAAAAATTATCGAGTTTTGCAAACACGCATTTTGAAAGGGAGATTTTAAAATTTCACGCCCTTTTTATCCCATTAAGCTGCGTCAATTGCTTTACTCTTTGCTAACTCCAGAAACAGGAGATTCTACTTGTTAATTTTGCACGTGCTCACTCTATCATTGGCCATTCGAAAATTATTGGTGCCACTCAATCGCATTAGAAGTTTCTTAAAATACTTCGTTTTCGTTCTTTAAATATCTCTGTATCATAATTATTTACTGAGTTACAAGCATTGGAAGTTTCGTAAATTTTTCTAATTTTTCTGCTGTATCGCTTCTTTTTTTGACTAATAATAAGTATATATACACAGGGTGTTCCATAAGTTTTTGCTGAGCGCTTTTGCATAGATAGAGCGGACTAAACTAAATCGAAAAGTCCTCTTTTTGCAATTTTTGCAATGGTTAACGAAATATTAATTACTAAAAATTGCTAAATATTGGTTTTCAATGACTTTTTACTTAAATACCAACAACTTTAGAAAAACAGCGAGAGACAAAAATTGTTTGTTTTTTTTCTTATAAAGTTCTGAGAATTTTTCAGAATTTTTTAATATTGTATTTTTTTTCATATTGATAAAAATAAAAAAAATGTATTACTAAAAAGTTAATTCTGAAAAATTCTGAAAAAATTTTTAGAGTTCTATGAGAAGAAAATAAATAATTTTTGTCTCTTGCAATTTTTCAGTGAAGTTGATAGTATCTGAATAAAAAATTATTGAAGACCAATATTCGGCAATTTTTGTAATATCGCTTATGGGAAAACATCGGGACTATAAAAAATCATGATAAGAAGTCAATAAAATTAATGTTATCACTTTTAATAATAAAAAATTTATTAATAAAGTTTATTAATAAAAAATTATTAACTGAAACATTAAATTATCCCGGAAATTAAACAACAAATGTTTGTTGCTTAAACAAATATAATTTAGAGATATATTTTCAAGCGATTAACGAACGACAAATAATCTGATACAAAATAAATATTTGATTCCAAATTATAGTTTTGATAAATATTCTATTTAAAGGAGCTTCCTTTCCAATGACCTTGACCTTGACAAAGTCATGACTCTGAATGACTTCCAACAAGTTTTAGCCGTCACTCATTACTTGTTAAAAATTTATTAACAAAGAAAATTACAATATTAAATTTATAATATTAGTATTAATATTAATATTAATAATAATATTAATATTAAAGTTATAATATTAAAAACTATTCTTTATCCTTCCTTATGTAATAACTTTTCACGCGAAGCTACTTTCACCTCACCTCCCCCTCCTGCTTCATAAGCTCATGACTTCCACGCGAAGTGACCCCCCCAGCGAACTCACCCCAGCTCCTCCCCTGCTTAGGGGCGCACGACTTCCATATGAAATAACTCCCACCCATCACTCGGCACTATTTAAATAACCCTTTATTATGACATGTAATTTGTACATTTCGGAACTTTTTCATTTTGGCCGAGAAACAGTCCCAACTTTACATCCTTCTTTAACATTACGGCATACTTTTTGACCGGCGCAGCAAATAAACATCCAACCGACGATGAATACTGGTATAGTCAAGGACATGGCTGTGATACGGCTGAAATACTTGATAAAAAAAAGTATAAACATCACGCCGATACAAGCACCAACATTCACTATACCACCGATAATGCCGATTTCGGTATCGCTAACATTTAAGATGTTTCGAAGAGTTTCCCCGGCGCTAGAATTCCATCCCATTGTGACACCAAGAGCGAAACCGCCGAGAGAAGCTAAATTTTTAAACAACAAAAATCAATATTTTATTGTACTTAATATGTACAAATATGTGCTTAAAAGAATTATATTAGCTCTGAAAGTGAATCCATTTAAATATATTCAAATATGATTCATACAAATATATTCAAATGTGAGTGAACAATTTATGTTACTTACTATTATTTTTTCCTTTTTTTAATATATTGTTCAATTTCTTAATAATCTATTTTTCTTAATATATTATGAAACAATTCAATGCTCGAATTCGAATTATGTGTAATATATTTCAAAATATTATGCGCGTACAATGATAGGATATTTTTTCTCACTTATAGCATTACATCATATATGTGATGGTATGTTTATCTACATGAAAATGATTAGACTTAAAACTTTATCGAAATCATAATTATACAAACATTCTAAACAGAATTATTAAAAAAGATATTCTTAATATTTTAAGTCACAAGACATTCTTGGCATTTTAAGTATTTTAATAACATAATTTTTAACAAAAAGCATATGAATTATTGTTATATATTCAATTAAGATATTTGCATAACCAATTTCATTTCAAAAGTAATGAACACTAAAAATTTGTGTATGCCTCATGTATTAATATAATATACAACCATAAGAGGCTATTAATCAAATTCATAATTTAATTTCATAGTATAACATTAAAAAAAATAATATGCTTCTGAAACACTGTACTGTAAGGATATGTGATACATGTACAGTACATGTACAGTACATACATGTACTGTACATGTATCACATACATGTATATTATAATCTATATACATACATATATCGTATAAATATATTATTTTTAAACTCTTATTTTAACAATGATATAACAAGGGCTTGCAAAGAAGTCCTAAAATGTATTTGAAATGATAAATACGAGTCAAGGTAGGTAATGGAGCACATAAATATAAAAGTACATATACATATAAGTAAGAAAATATAGTGATATAAAATTTAATTTACGTTTTGGCTCATTCATTTTTAAGCTATTCACAGAATGTTTTATGCAAAGAGTTCTTCAATTTACCTTTTGATCGACAATAATGTAATTTTTTTTCTTGTATATCAACACGTAATATTCTGAAGATGACTTGAAGAATAAGTCGGAAAGTAAATTAAATTTTATTTCATTATGTTTTTATTTCTATGTGTGTATTTTTATATTTCTGCACAATCGCGTATGTTGACTTGTATTTGCCATTTTCGATATATTTTATTTTAATAATTATATAATCTCTAAAAAAGCCATTTGCATTGCTTACAATTAGAATAGTAGCAAACATTTTTTGAGCAAGCATTTTTTGAACTTACATATAAAAGCAGCAACGTGCTGATTCAATCGATAGATTCTACCATCGCCGTTAACTTCGGAAACTAATGTCGATGTCATTTTCATAATAGATATGATAAGTGATATTGTCTAAATGCTATCACCATTCTCCAATTGTCATCCACCGATATACCGATTCAAATCGATTCGAGAGAATTCAGCTGCATAACTGACCGCACTGACGACATGACATAGTCGACCTTCGTTCGATATGAACGTATCGACTTTTACATTCATATACACGACCGGATGTTTTACCGAACTGGATTGTTTACCGAATGCCTTGATTCATGACTTATTACTGATACATTTGCCCACTCTTTCTGTGTGTGTTGGGTGTGTGTAATTTCTTTAATACAATTTAGCAAAATTCATAAAGTCTTTTATTTGTTGAAGTGGCTCATCTCCTTTTCGGATCAGTTTTTTTAAATGAAAAATATGAAAACTTTCAAATTGGAATGCGTTAAAAACAATAGAATATCAAATTGTTTCACATCAAATGTTAAATGTGGACAAATTATTTAAAATATTGCATTTAATTCCATACATTGTAAAAGATTAAACAAAAATATTTCCGAGTTAAGATTTCCGAGTCGCCGTGGTCACATAGAATAATGACGTCATAAGCGAGAAATGACACGTTGAAGTTTCATGCATACCACTTGTAAATAAAATAAATTTGGATAAATAATAAAATCGCTTTAAAACACTACACTGTAAAAATAGATTAAAGCTATCTTTACCTTACCTGACAATCAGAAAATAGTCGTAAAAACCACGTAAAGTGTGTTTATTGATGTTTACTTATTCGCATACGTGGTTTATTTTCATTTCATATGACCTTTATGATTATTTACTGACTGTCACGATGTCATGGACGTTAAAGCTAACTTTGACTTATTTTTACAAGTGTTTTAAAGCGATCTCATTATTTTGTTTTATCCAAATTCAGGTTATTTACAATGCAAGAAATTTCAACGTGTTATTTCTCACTTTATAATGTTATGATCCAATATGGCTGTGGCGACTACTTACAATTAGAAGACTTAAAAGCTTTTTCACATATTCAATTAATTGAAGATTTTATATATAATATAAATCTAATAAAATTTTAATGAATTCATTAGTATGTTTTAATTTCTCACAATGTTATACAAAATATTACCTAAATGTCGTACATAAATTATATATATAATATATTATATATAATAATACAACTGTGATATGTCACCATAACGTTACTGTAATTCATTTTTTTTTGGATATCTGGATTTGAACATCCCTAGAATTCAGCAAACCCATCCGGTATCTGACGAATTTGTTCGCATGGTTATGATTCGTACCTCGCACTCTCTTTTGAAGCGCTCTCTTATAATTTAACTTTGTAAACTATCATAAGTTACGAAGTTTCTGTATCCGATGATAACTGGTTAATCATATTCCTCAGTTTATTGCATTTCTTATTATAAATTAATATATTTGAATTTAACATTCTCGATGTCGGCGTTAATGATTATTACTATTGATTATTATTTGTTCGTGTCATTGTATTTTTTTAAATTATACACAAACTTATCTTTTTAAAAAAAGGTAAAAAAGACGCTAAGAGCGTATGCTATTCAATGAAACTATTTTACTATAAAACCTAAATATGATAAAACTTAAATAAACTTCGGCGCTTTGGATTTAAAGTAATGTTATTTAACATAAACGGTCTTGTTTCCTATCTTATGTTTATACACGCGCGCTGAAAAAATGCGTTACTCTCTATACATATTGATTATTGCGAAGAATTATTGCTAAGGTCTCAGTAGTCTAAAGGCTTAGGACGCTCGCACGGAATGCAAAAGATCCGGGTTCGACTCCCGGCCGAGGCAATATTTTTCGCAAAAAGTTTATTACAGTTTTTTAAGATTAATTTGGGAAATTTGGGGGGATTATTAATATTTCAGATCAATTGCGTTAATGCCAACAACCATATCGACACGTAATTATCATTTCTGAAATTTATTATTCTAAATTTTAATTCATTTGTTTGAAAATATATATATTAGTTCAACATCCAATACTCAGATCGTAGTGCTTCGGATTTTAAAGTAATGTTATTTAACATAAACAGTCTTGTTTCCTATCTTATGTTAAATAATTCGTATTGAAAAAAATTTGTGTAACAAATTAAAAAGTACAATCCAAGTGGTATTATTTTTACTAAGTAATACGATAAACCTTTTTGTATTTTTATTGAAAGTCTTTCTACTTCAACCTTTCCTCCTAAAAAAATAATATTGTAGTAACTTTCAAAAAATAAAATACAAGTTGTACTATCCCTATTATTTTTATTTACTTCTAATGACACATATCATTTGTATTTTTATCAAGTTAATTAATTAAATTCTACCAAATTAAAAAAGCAAAACTCATGTGGTACTATTTTTTTATTATCTTTTTATTATTTACTTAATTCTAATGATATGTATAATGTGTATAACAGATTTGATATCCACTACAAGCGCCAAGTTAGACTAGTACATTTATTATTTACTTAAGGGGATTACTGGAGCGAAGGCCGAAGTTGATCAAGGTCCATATTACAGGTTTTCATTTCCAATGTATAAGCTGCTTACGCCCTCTGAGTTAATATGATCATGCAGGAAATTCGATCGATTAATTATCGATATTTTTATTCCGTTTCCTACATTACCATCTTAACAGGGACGTGTATTAGGGTCGGTTCCACAATGTAGATTTATTTTGGAAAATTTTCCAATTTTAGAATTTAAAAAAAAATAAACATAATTGAAGTTAATCTTATATTTGTAGAATCGGACCTTAGAAATTTAGTTGCATTATATACATATTTAGTTGTATTATGTATACACATGCAATGGTAGGCCGTGTTCTAATATATATCACCAGTATTAAAAGTCTGTAATATACATAAAATACAGATTTTTAATTAATAGATATATCGATACGAAGCCGTAATAGCACTTTTTTCTTACATCCAATGTCATTTTAGGTTACGATATATTATCATAAATGAATATCATAATATA